TGTTCTACTGTCTAGAATGTTCCCACTTTTTCTTACCTTTTTAATTTTAAATTGGTGCTACTGTATTTTGAAAGAGTTTCCTTTTAAACAATTTTTAAAAATATTTTGTACCCTTCTCTAATTTCATTTCTCTCCTGTATTCTCCCAACTCTCTGAGCACACTGACTACACATGTCATATTGTCAGTCCTTCCTGGCTCTGAACTCTGCCTAAAGTTTATGTCTCCAACGGCCTTTTCCTATTTGTTCTTTTCATGTTTTATCTTTCATGTTAGAGAGATTCTTCATACGTCTGATGACCCTTGGCTGTCTGTTCATATTCAAGAATGGGTCCCAAAAATGCCTAACGGAGGATTCACAAGTGGCAGGAACCTTTCCTCTGGGGTATAAGGTATGGACTCAACTAAACCAGGAAACCCCCAATATCAGCATCAGTATCTACAGGTATCTTCCTTTCTGTTTCCTGGGAGAGGGATACGGTATTCTAATCTGCTGGGAACTGAGGGCCCTGGGCAGGTGGGCTCTCACCCTAACAAAATTCTACGGCACTATCAGTGCAAAACAGTCACTGTGTTCCCTGAAGACACCTTGTATCCACTCTCAGCTGTGCTGGTGTCCCAAGTGTCACGTTCCCCTCTTTCACCCTTTTGCGAAGACATACCCATCTTCTGCAGGGAAGAGGAGTCTCCTAGTCACAGGGGCTGGTCTCACATCTGCTGTGACTGCCTTTCAATCCTCTTATTTCTCCAGCTATGGATCCACACTCCTGCCACCCAATGCATCTGGTGACTCATATTCTTGAGACTTTCTGGGGTGTCTATAGTACAAATGCTCACAAACATTTGGTAGAACAGAGCACACAGAAGCCTCATCGGTATATCAGTTATGACTGATGAGGCTCTTATGTTGTAACAAACCAGCCAGCCCTGCATGGGTCCGCTCCCGGCAGCCACGTGGACCTGTGCTGTGCTGACAGAGAAGCCACCATACTATGACACCCCGTGCTAACACAAGGCTTCCGTGCACTGCCACTAGGGAAGAAAGTGTGATGTGAGCTGTTCCTGCATGGAGACAGCACACTTCAGGCTCACACTTCACCGGCCAGCCACACACACCCCCCCCACCGCCCAAAGCTTCTAGAGGATGAGGAAGTTCAGTCCCTTTTATATTTGGAAGGAGATGAGAACCAATAACACTGAGGAGCTCTATGCTTAGCATGACTGATTACTAACATTTTAAACATTTCATTATCATTGCCCTTTCTGTCTCTCTGCTTTTTAGTATTTTCTATCACTTGGTATATCTGTAGGAGGGAGTAGATATAAGCACCATTTCAGGATGCACAGCACAGCGCTCAAAGCAGCCCCAAGCCTCCAACATACACAATCCCATCAATCTCCAACTCTGTCCGACCATGAACGCTGTCTACTCGGAAGGGTTTCGTCACTGCAAGAGACATCAGGAGGTGTGGAACTTTTCAGAACATGCCACACATTAACAATATTTTTAAAGAAGGGAGCTGGAAGAGATTGCTCAAACATATCATACCTAGAACACAAACTCCTCACTAGAAGCGAAGCACATATTTTTTCAGGAAACAATTATTTTCATTTAGCACAGAGCATCTCTAAGTTCAGTAAAGTTTTGCAGATGAACAATCCTATCTTATTCTGTACAACTTACCAGTAATGTTTACGAGTGCAAAATGCTGATGTTTACGAGTGTTAAAAGCAGACTTAACCCTTAGCAATTACCTCTGGTGAGCGGTAATGCTGTGTTCTTAATTTCCTTCTATTACTCCATTGTAGTTTCTCATATTGACATTTTAAGAACACACTTCTTTAATGTAAGAATTAAAGGCCACTTCTCCAGATCTGTAGACCGTAATCATGAGACAGCCCCTTTATTAGTACTGTATTTTTGCTAGTAAGGATTTTTCAAGTCTACATATCTTATACAAAAAAACTGGCTAGACTCCCCCTTCCCCGTCACCTGATCAGTGGTTGTTAACATGCTTAAAATGTTAAGAATTTCAGGGAGGGCTAGAGATGTAGCTCAGTGGCACTGTGCCTTCCTGGCAAGCACAAGGTCCTGATTTCAATTACCGGTACCAGAGGGGAAAAAAAATTTCAGGGAGCATTTATAAGACAAAACTATGAAACAAAAAAAAACCACCAGATCACAGGGCTTCATCTCAGGTACTTAGGTTTGGGAAAGCAGCACAGTAATGCGTTTTTAACAAGCCCCCCATCTTCCCATCACACCGCTTTTCACAGTGACTTTTCTACAATACCTTGCATGGAATGAAGTTTTGATGCTAACATAGAATCAAACCATCAAAGTGGTACCAAATGAAGGTATGTCTTATAAATATGGCATAGTAGATGAAATATACCACATAGATTCAAGTGGTTGAAAAATGACTGGGGGATATTTTTAACTACAGGTTTTTGCTTTGTATAAACTATTCATCCCCAGTAAGCCCTCCTGACCAGTTTCTTAGCATCAAGCTGAGTTTCTGATGGTATAGGTTCCTAAAGCAGCTATAATTATTTCTACATCTGGAATGAAATATCATGCAAGAGGGTTATGTTGTCCTAATTCAAATGAATAAAAGCCACCCTTGGCCCAACCCAGGGACTGTGCTGGTGGCTCGGAGTGAAGGTGGAAGGGTCACATGGGTATGTAGGTCATTTTCACACAGCTGGCTTCAAAGGAGGAGCCCACCAGGAGAGGCCAGCACCCAGACTGAATGCTTCTGCAACTCCTATGATGGCTGTCCGAATTTCTAACAAGGACTTGCCAACCAGCTGATTACCAGCTCCCTACTTTCCAAAGATCTTCATTTCCACCTCATTTGCAAAATGCCTGCTGCAATCCCTCTTAGTTACTAGAAGCTTAGAGACAGCTGGAGATCAAGGGGAATAGCCATGTGAGCACACCTGTTTCTGACTCAGGAACCTAGAAAACAGACACAAGGGAGTTTGTGGACTAACTGACCCAATGCTGCCCCCTTGCTGGGGAGGATGCCCTTGCCTTCCCAACCTTCCTCCAACCTTTTCTGAAAAGGTGTTAGCAGTTTAATCAGCCAACAGCAAATGCTGACTGCTACTAAACACAATGTGAATGAAATTGCTTTGGTCCCCACAACCCTTTACATATTAGTAAAATGCATAAGCAGCTTCCAATAATGACTTCTCACTCCAAAAGATACACCAAGAAACAGCCTGGTACAATCATAAAATACAGAATTAAATGCAATTTAACCTCTTGACCTTTCTCTGACACCAAGCTCCAATTTAAATGAAATTGTTTAAAAATTACTCAAGAGAATGGAAAAGAGAACTACGGCAGAAAGAATCTTTATAGCAAGGTAGGGGGCAAAGGTCAGTCGTCTCGATTTATTCTGAACAGACTATGACTTCCCCCCAGGCTTGCCAGGTTATCAGACTGCGTAGGTATTTTAAACATGGAAAATAAATGCAGCTTGGTGTGAAGGACTGGGATTCAACCCCTAGTACCATAAAAAAGGGAAAATAAAATGTCACCAAAGGCAGCAAGAGCTTTGGTAGCTCTTCACACCTAAGCACAATCTGTTGGGAAGCCTTCCCTGGTAGCAAGAGAAGTGAAAATTAAACACTTACTGAAACCCACAACGAGCATAAGGCAAGTAAAACACCGACAAGAAGAAGAAACAAAACAAAACACTACAGAAGCCCTGGCAGGACAGGGCTCAGCAGGATTTCTATCAGTTTCTCCAAAGAAACCACAACACTTGTTGCAAATCCTTAAGGGACAGCTTTAGGGCAGTGGTTCTCCAACGGTGTCCCACAGCATTCCCTGGAACTTGTTATGGGCGCACTGCTCTCCACCTGGAAGGTTAAGAAATCCTCCACCCTTATGCTTTCTGGGAAATGGCTGACTGCAGAGATGCTCTTCCCTCGCAGACCACAGTAAGGCACTCCGGTACCCTCTTTACTTATAAGACCTTCCAAATTTAAATTCTCTGACTCTAATGATTAGCAGACCTGGTTAGCCAGAACAAAATGCTTAATAACCTAACTTGGTTTAGTCTCTCCCTTTCCTCAAGGTGTCTAACCTTCGGCCAGCCTATAGCCCAAGATGGCAAATCTTTCAGAGACTGCCCAAAATGCAATCCAAGACCCACTTATTTATTGTAAAGTGCTACCACTGCAATTAAACCTGAATATTGAAGTTTAGTTTGGAAAAAAAAACTCATTAACATTTTTTGTCTTAAAAACAAACCACACATGTGCCATAGCTTCGCCACCACGGATATAGCCCTTCTTGGGACAGGCTGGTCTCTGGTTAAAACTTTATTTTCTGATCTCATTACATTAAGGCATTCTTCCACCCCACTTCCTCACACCTTGTTCTAACTTTGGTTACTCCTCCGTGTAAAAGAACACTCTCCTTCCTTATCACAGAAAGCTCTTCAGATGTTAGGGCTAGAGGTTCTCCTACAGCAACACCGCCTTCTCCCTTGTGAAATAGCACCTTTCTCCCCAAGCCAGAATCTTTTCCAATCAAGTCTCCTTACTCAATCCTGCCATTTTAAAGTAAAAAGAATTAAGATGTGCTTTGTACATGTATATCCTTCCCCACAACAATGAATGTAATCATTATGTACTGCAAACAAGTAATAAAATAAAAAACATACAAATTTTCGGACCCCACACCAGCCCTTCTGAATTAGCAACTAGTTGGCGGGAGGCCTTGTGCCTCGAAAACTGATTACCAACAAGCTCTCCAGATAGTGAGGAAATCACTGATTTACAGCGATCCCTCTGCAGGTCTCTTTCTCTCTTCAGCGGGTGCGTCACTCACCACTGAGCAGAGATGGTGTGCACTTGCTGAGACTTACGGTGGAAGGAAAGGTTCTCAGCGCTCCCCAGGGCCACGACTCCCGTCTCCCCTCCCGCCCCTCCCCTTTGGATGCCATGCAAAGAGCTCCGCCAGCCTGGACGCGCCCAGACTTACATCTCCGTCCACTGGCCTCTGGTCGTCACAGTCCCTGGTGGGGCTAATGTCTTGGCGCATGACCCAGATGGGCTCTTTGGGCTCGTCGGGAGTGTAAGGCGAACGGATGGTCCTGGTCTTCACCTCTTCGATGGCCTCCTTGATGTCCTTGATGGCCAGCGAGATGGCGTCCCTTTTCTCCTTGCTGTACCGCTGTCCTTCGCCGCTGCCCGCGGGGCCGGCTGCCCGCGGCTGCCCCACCGGCTCCTGCAGCCCCGGGCTGTCCGGGCGACCCTCGCCCGGGGTGGGGGCACGCTCCAGGTCCTGCTCGGCCTCGGGCATGTCCTCGTCCGCCTTGTCCAGGCTCTGCGAGCTCATGCTCTGCTTCACCTCGGCCACGATCTGGTCGATGTCCTCCTCCTGCTCGTAGCTGTCCATGCGCGGGTAGGGCGCGAACTCGGCCTCCTTCTCGGGGCTGTCCGACTCGCCGTCCGAGCGCTCGTCGTAGTGGTGCAGCCGCGCGCCCAGGGCCTCCTGGCGGTAAGCTG